ACGATTGAGCCTTCTTTAGACGTGCATATAGATGATGTTACATTGGTTGAGAGCAATCGAAGAAATAAACAAAATTGAGTGATGATGACCAGTGAGATGTTTTGCAAAGAAACGGAAATTATTCGCATACGGCTGGATGACCGGTTGTTTAAAATTTTCCGGTGTTCTAACTGGCCATAAAGTTAAATTTCATATATCGAGAAGGTGCTCGTCAATTTCTAAATTATTAAGCGTCAATGTGTTAATCTATAGTAAAATAATAACGATATTATAATGATAAAAATTAGTCACAATATAAAGTTATATAGATAATAATTATTATATGGATAGATAATAATTATTATATAAAAAGGTATTTAATAAAATGAGATACTGGTAAACATATATGTTACCATTACGACAGAATTTGTTAAGAGTTCTTTTTATACAACTGAGAATGAGACAGTAGAAAGGTATAAAAATTTATATTTCTTTGGCTACTTTTCCTAAAATTGTGAAGTGTTACTTAACTTTTGCTAATGGATTCATGTTCAGCTGGCAAAATTTTCGTAAGTGATTATTCACATTGTTTATATTTCCAAAAAGATTACATTTTGTTGAATATATGTTACATAACAAAAAAAAGGTCTGCAATTTTGTTGAATAATATGTTACATAAGAAAAGAACTATCTTTAAATTGCTAATCTCAGAAACAAAAAATCATATTGAAACCAACAAAGTGCATTAAAAGTTGATATCTTCGTGTGCGTGCGTGCGTGTGTGTGTGTGCGTGCGTGCGTGCGTTCGTGCGTGCATGCGTGTGCGCGAGCGCGTGTACGTGTGCGTGTGACATTAATATATTTAACAAAAAAAATTAGTTGTCGGTGATACAACATCTTGAAAAATCTTCAAAATTGTTCTTTCGCCAATGAATTCGTATTCAGCAAGCAAAAATACATCGAAAGTGACTATGTTCACACTCGTGTGGCAAGAAAAAGATCAAATTTTATCTTCCTTTATGTATGATTTAATTAAAGGCAAGAGTCACGGTGAATTTTTTTTGTCCCAAATTTAGGCTAAAATATTGAAAAAAATGGCAATATAATTGCGATATCAATTGTTATCAAAATTGTCTGCATTTTGTTAAAAAATGATTTTTTAGAGAAAAACCGCGAAATAGAGATTCATTTTGATATTTTACTCGATTTACATAATAGTATAGCTGATTATCTGACAATTTGCAGACAACTCTTACTTATTGTATTGTGTAAACAATATTATAACATTTCAACTGGCTCATTAGCAGACTTCGCAACTTTTTAAAATATAAGCAAAAAAATCTTACGAAATATTGTTTCTATAAGATAAAATATGATTTGATTGATCCAACAAACGAGAATGGATTGAAATGAATTGAAATGGATTCAAATTTTCAGAAATATTGATTCACGAATGTTAAAAAGAATGCTTTTCAATTCAATTCTGAATGCATTTTTATTCATTTATAGGAATTGTATGGAGCATCTCTATGTTTTTCAATCCAAAAATAATATTAGCTTTTTCTGTGCATTGTGAATACTGTTCAATTCAAAATTTTGAATAGGAAATGCAGTTTTTCAATCCAATTGCATCCAATTGAATGTAATTGAATCCAATTAAATTAAAAAAAAAGTATTCGCTATTTAAAATACGCATTCGGATAGAAAAAAATTTCAATCTATTTTGATCCATTCTCATTTGCTGATATATGTGCACTGCGATTATATCTGCACCGTGAGTAAGGAGCAGTTTATTTTATTTATTATATCATTTTTAAGAGTAAAAGAGCAAAATCGAGCTTTGCAGTAAGTTTCGTAATTTCGTAAATAAACATAGATAAGGTAAAACTAGTTATGATGACAAATATTTCTTCTACAAAATAATTACTGTGTTTACATGGCTTGATTTACATCGAAGTTATAATATCGATGTTATGAAACTGGCCAATCATAGTTATTCCTTGGAAAAATGGAATAACTGTGATTGGCAATTTCCTATATCGATGATATAACTTCAGTGTAAATCGGGCTATGTAAACGTAGTCATTCAATGTAGAGTGCAGATATGTATCGCTGTATCGTAAATGAGATGAGTTTTCATCCCTTTGCCGACTCTTAAGTAATTTAAAGATTGAACATATTTTTTTAAATATACAATAAAATCTGTAAAAATAAATACAAAAATCTTCTGTTAGGTTACCAAATTGTTTGGTGTAAATTATGATACACCGACCTCTGGCGAACCTATCCATGCATCCATAAGCCAGCTAAGCCAGCCGGGTTCGTATATGCTAGCACCCAGTTACAGCGAGGCGTTATTAATGGAACCAGCAACACCTCGCAATGAATCCGAACAAAGACGAGAAAATTGGGAAAGTCGAGAAGAGATGAATGTTGCAACTGACATAGTACCCAGCTACTCTGAAGCACTTCTTTACGAACGTGCCGAACAATACGATGATCAAAATGCAGTCATGAATAATGTCCCTTCTATATGCACGAGTAACACGACGACATGCAACGTGGATGATCCGATGCGAATACTTCCGCTGATGCCATGCGAATGTCATTGTCCTTGTCCGTGTCATGGGAATGCGAACGAATATGAGACGAGGATGGACGAGCGCAGCTACATCGAGATCGCGACCAGCAGAGAGCATTTGCCAACAAGTACCGACATTGGCGATACTTTCGAAAATGAACTAGCGACGCTACGGACGACGGCCGACGGTCGATTGCATCCTCCTGCAAACCCAATAGCTTCTATGGATAATCTTCAAATTGAAGCATCTCCGAGCAGATGCAGCAGTTGCGGCAGAATTTCCACCAGCACGCAAACGATCAATGCTGACACCCTTCCCCACATTGTCGCTAGGAAAAAGTCTAATGAAAGCTCTCAGACTACATCGGCCGATTTCATTTCCAACATGACATCTGAAAGAGAGCGTCGGACTATACTCCGCGACATCTCTGAACCTAACTTGAGATTGCGGTCGGAACTGGTGAATACGTTCCCGAAGGAGAATGTCAGGAGCCTAAAGAACATATTGGAAAATGAAGAAAATCTATCAGGAGCTAGCAAAACTGGCTTTGTCAACGTAGAGATGAGTCTTCGGCATGAAAGGCAATATCCTGAACGTCAGAGGAGATTCCCAGTTTCGCCCTCTCTGACGCATCACCGTTCCCTTTCCCTCGACGAGACTGTTTCTCCGAAAAATATGAGCACTATTTCAAAAACCGAGCCGCGTAGCAGGATCATGGTGAATCCTATATTAAATGAAGCTTGCTGGAAATTACCCAACTCGAAGACGTACTATTGCTTAAAGTCGATTTTGAAGCAAAACAGGCGCAGATATACACTAGTGACCGCGGATGAATTCCAAAATCTCACTGAACAGGATGCTAATCGTGGTCTTGGATATCTCAACAGTTCCGGCAGAGGCGAGAAGAGTAATAATGATGTTCAAATCGATAAATTGATCGATTCACGCTCGAGGGAAAGATTAAATCTCAGAAGGAGAATGCCATCCTTCGAGGAATTTAGATCGGAAAGAGACAAAATGTATAACAATGATCAAAAACGGGAAAGCACTAGGTAAGTCTCGTCGTCAGCCTATAATAATTTTGTCGTATTTCGTTTTAAGTGACTGACAATATTTCTATGTTGAATTATTATTATGCTGATATTATGCTTATATTTATTGCTGATATTATTTACTGCTTATTAACAATTAATATTTGCGCTGTGTTTTGTTTCTGCTTACTCATCACATAATGGCGTATTGTGGCTGTATTATTATTAATTGGTAATCATCTCATAATTATTGTTAACTATCAACTTGACGATGTCCTTATAAGTACACTTTTTTGAATTTCATTCAAACTCTTAATCTCTTAAATTATGTTTCTAGTTATAATTAAAATGTTTCCAAATTCTTAAAAATTTGCTAACGTTTATTTAAATTAAATTTATATATTCTTTCTATAATTTATTATTTTTATTATTTTTAAGTTATACCCCTTCTGTAATTTATCATTTTAATTATTTAAAAAATACTATTTAAACTAAGAAAAATAAAAAAGTTTTAGATTTTTTTATACCTTATGTCTTTACCTTGTATCTTTTCTTACGGGATAATTTTTAATTTATTTCCACCCCAAAGTTGGAAGTTAATGTTTACTGTGTATGACTTGGAGTTAAGGCAATTATATCACTCACCGATAGGACCAGGAATGTCGCATAATATCTGAACACATTTCTAATAATATAAAATAATTGCTATAACTCCAGAATACAGTATATTCGTGCGCCTCATAAATCGATATTGTCTTTATAGAACGCTCATTTTTGCCAGTCCGATACAAGAAGTCTTCCCTGGCGATCCTTTCGGCGGCAAAGATATCGTACCAGTAAGAAATTTGAGAGAATGTAGCGCCAGAGAGGGTGATTCCACCAACGATTCGGCAATGCTTATTCGCCCTTTATCAAGTCGATCTCCAGCTGTTCGAGATGCAAGATGCCTTCCGACCGATTATCCAACTAGGAATCCATTGCGGCCCGACAGTATCACGTATCCATTACCACATGTAATGCATTCTTCGTGGAATAACTGGCATGAAAAAAAACTCCAGTATCTTTTACACAATAGATATTCATTCGAGGCAATGGGCACTTCCGCTAGAGCAGAAGAGACATCGCGAGGGTATCGAAACGACATCTCATTTCGTTCTTATGATGGGTTGCACTCTGAACGAATGAATAGATGGTCGACAAGCTCGAATGAATATGATGATAGATCTCGCGAAGGTCATTCAAAGTATTTATCCAACAGAAGACGTCAGGTAGCTGGTTTAACCAGATCACTCACCGAGAGGCGGCCGAAGGTCGCTCGTCTCAATAGGAACTTTCGAAGAAGCTTCACAGGTAGAATGGAAGATTATAGAATGGAGAACGCCAAACGAACAAATTTCAGCATCGAAACATCACTGTAACAAGCACATTCAATCTCAGGGTGCCAATTACATCTCGGTTATATGTGACCGAAGTTAATTCCTCTGCTGTAGAATATTTCGCTAAATTATCAAGGAGAAAGATCACAATATTACATGTTTGATTGCGATAATTAAATGTCAAGTGAAAGAATATCTTTTTATTGTATCATAGCTTTAAAATTTACAGAAGTAAATATAGGATGTCTTAAAATTCGCGATTTAAAATACTATAGCAAGAAAGTTTTCGAAAAAATTAAGTAAAGAAATTATTTTTTAAGCGGTTATTTTTTTTTAGTAAGTGTTTAAATATGGCCAGTTATAGACTACGTTTAGATAGTCACCTGTCCATGAATCGCGAGTGCGATAATATATTAATGTTGATGAAATGGACTTCAGCACACTCATTAATACTCGTAGATGATGATTTAAACGTAGTCTGCAATTGGCTGTATTTAAACCTTTATATCTCAGAAACTATTGATTAAAATGAAATGGAAGAGTTACGATAAGGACCATTTTTGATCTCTCCTCCCCTCTTGAATTCAAAAGAAATTAGAAGAGAAAATGTATCTCTATATTTTGGTCTTTTAATGATTCCTAGAAGAATGATTTTATGATTTTATGATTTTTAAATATGAGTCCAAAAGTGGTCATCTGAATTAGTTCGACCGAAATATCGCTTCCATTCCATGACACGCACTGAAATATAATACTACTGAAACGAGCGCTGGTGTTAGTTTCACGATTCGACAAAGTGTTTTAAGTGATATCTTTATTCTTTTCTAATCTATATTCAGCTACGGTATTGCGCATGTGCAATATCGTCTACTGCACTTGCGCAATTATAGCTGAGTACATGTTAAAAAAGGATAAGATATCAATCGGAACGCTCTCTTTCGGATTACTTTTAACAAACACAGATAAGGCCGCGCTCGTTTCAGTAGTATAATATTTCAGTGACGGTACTTCATAGTTTACATGATAGGTCGTATCAGTTTTACACGAAGAATATTCTACTCTTCAGTTTTAATGACAATTTATATCTTCCTATTATCAAAGCATGATATCAAATAATAATGATATATATATATGCATAAGCGTATATGAGAGAAGTTTTATTCGAACACCGAGCAATACTAATTCAATTAGAAATCTGATTTTGATCACATTGGCTGTGTTCAGCGGACTCAACAGTTGAGTGAGCCCTTACTGCTATTGATGTGTTCTTCTAAATCATCTAATAGCGAGCGTTTACGGATCCGCTCCGCAACGGTTCAAACAATTGAGACTGCTGAATGCGACCATTTCTGAAAGTCTAATTCGATTTCCTGATTTCTATTCTTTTGGTATAAATATTCTGGTATAAACATATATAATTATATATGAAATATATTTATTATACATGTTCATTGTCCATACATCCTTCTATAGCTGCGTTTCACTTAACGCTTGTGAGCATTGTTTATCCTTGTTCAACATTTGATAAACAACAAGGATGAAATGATTTCATAAGCATTGTAAGTGTTAAGTGGGACACAGCTTATATAATCGATCGATTTCAGAATTTCCAACTTAAAATGACAATTGTGAAGAATGATGTAATATATGTATATTACCGTATGAATTTGATACCAAAATACGTAAAATTAATTATTTTGATTGAAAATATTATTTAATTATTAATTTAAAATATTAAATTTTACTTAAATAAATCATAATTTGCAGAAAGTTAGAACGTTTTCAATTTTGCAATTGACAATTCTGAAATTTAATCGATGGATTAAACTAATCGAAGTTGATGAAATCGACAAGGGGTTAAATTTCGAAAACCGTCGTGCTATAGTATTTTGAATCGTGAATTTTGGAACATTTTGTATGTTAAAAATTATTAATAACTGTACAATTTTATGAAACAAAAATAATCTCAACTTGCGTAAATGCAATATTGTTGTGTAGAATTTACAATGCAATTTTAAAAACATCTTGATAAACGCATTTAAAAAAAAAACAGCAGATTATTAACTCGGAAGTTAATTCAGATCGTTGATGCAATTCATTCCTAAATAAGATTGCTAGTTTTCCATCCTTGTCTACAATATTATAAATCTATATCATAACTAATTAAGAAGGTCACTGCGAATTTAGCTGGCCCGAATTGTCAGCACGATTCAGCCTTAAATTTTACTTCTTTATTTCACGCTACTTGTATCGTAAGTATCCGTCCTATTACTTTACGAATTAACCAAATATGCGAACGGGTCGTACAATTTTTTAAAGGACATTTCAATGCGGGCTATTGCCCTTAGCGCTTTTGCTTAAAGGCACTTTTGAAAGATCGCAATGTTGCGCGCATTTTATGGAAATTTCAATCAATTATCGAAGAAACTCGAAAAAAAGATCACGTGCATTCAGCGTTAAATGCGAACTCATTTAAACTCATTTAAAATCATCATCATTTAAAAAGACGAAGTTTATCTTTTTAATTCGTATCAGAATTCAGAATAGAATTCTATTCATAATTTTATATATATAAAACACGAAAAACATATAAGCCGTTTACATTAAGGCCGTGATCTGATTCATGCTAACAACGCTTATAAGCATCATTTGTCTTTGTTTAACATTTGTTTGTTGTTGTCAAACAAGGATAAGATGATTTTTAAGCGTTATGAGCGTGAATCAGATCGCAGCGTAAGAGGAAAGCCACGCGAATTTGACCTATTATTGATAATAGGATTTTTTAAACTCTAAACTCACAAGGGAACCATACGAAGTGTTAAATTGTAATTTTAATGAAGCTTTGTATACATGTAGGTTATACATAAAAAAATGAATTTAGAAAATATTAGTTGCGGCAGAAAAACGATTTGAAGGGATGAAATCATCTTTTATAGATAAAGCGGATATTAGCTTTTTTGTATCTTAAATATGTAAACATCAAATTTTGTTGTATCAAAAAATATTTTATACAAAACTTTTAGAATGAAATTACCTTTGTTCACTCATGTCAATAATATTTTTGAAAAATAAAAATTTTTTTAATTAAAAAAATTGTTTATTAAAAATATTATTAACGTAAATGAATAGAAGTAATTTTGTTGTAACCTTTTATATAAAATATTTTTTGATATCTCGAATAATTTTTGAGATATAACAGAATTTCTTTGAAAACTATTTTACTATATATAAGGGTCAGTGATTTATTCCTTCAAACCGATTTTCTGCCGTAACGGACATTTTCTAAATTCATCTTTTTATATAACTTGTATATATACAAAGTCATTAAAATCAGAATTTATCACTTCGTGATAAATGATTCTCTTGTCAGTTTCTTACATTATCATTCTGTCTCACTAAAATATAGTTCATCTGTTATTATCGCGTATATCTATTCTTATCTAATATATTGCAGCTCATTGCAACATCATATCTTTTGCAAGATTGAGCACCTACTGAAATTATTATTTTATTTACAATTCTAAATCTTTGCTAAGCTTACGTGTATATATATCGGATATATATTCTATATATATATATATAT